GATTGTTGTGTTTGTCCGCCTGATATGTTGTCATGGAAACCTGGGTCCTTTATTTATTTATATGGGTGTGTTTTTTTTTTTTTTTTTTTTTATTTAACATAGGAAATGGTTTAATAGAATAGACTGATTGTAGGAAGTACCCTGCTGGACGTACTAGTCCTGTCATTCCAACAATATACTGTAGTTGTGGTTCCTCTGCCTTCAAATAAATTACAGCCATTTCCATTTGCAATGTGTCTGTCAGCTGCTGGATGTTAGAAGTAATCCTCTCCGTGATTACAACTACCATATTTTAGTATAACACCTTCAATGGCAGATTTAGACCAATTAATTAGTGAATAACAATCTAACTAGTTTTTGTGTCACTCTGTTATTAAGTTCAGCTAGTTTTTTTAAGTATTCATAATGTGTTTGTTGTTATGTATGCTGATTATTTGGTTTGAGGGGGCTGATTTCACTTATGTATTTTTGATTTCTAATCTTTTAGCTGTTTTATTTCTTAGGGAGGAGCTAGTAAAGACATGTCTACAGGAAGGGAGCAAGTTAGTCCAAGCAATTGCAGATGGTGTTTTTAACTTACCTTCAGCTGAAGATCCTGATGGGCCCCTTGTCAAGTTGCCTCCCCCCTCAACAAAACTTCCAAGGGAGAAACCTGTAAGCTTGGCCTATTTACTTATCTCTTTAGTTATCTCATATTCTTTTCTATGATTTGGATTTTTCCAGAAGGACAGCCTTCATATAATAGGTGGAGAAAATGAATATATATATGTGTACTGTTGAGCTTTATCAAAATTGAATTTCAATTAAGTATACTGGCATAACAAATGTGCTAACTCATTAAATGCAGGGAGTTCAATTACTATCTTCTAATGTGTCATTATGCTTCTATCTTTGCAGAGATTGAAACCTAATAATTTGTTTATGTTTATTTGAACAGATGTAAATAATGATAAAATTATGATTAATGATTTTGTTAGTGGATCAGGGTGGAAGTTTGATTAATGCTCCAACACTTTGACTTTTCAATGGCTTACCTAATTCCTTACTGTTGGCATGAAATTGAGAATTTTTTATTTTTATGATGTTTCAGCTGCCAAAGCCCAAACCTCCTACAAAATGGGAAAAGTTTGCTGAAAAGAAAGGTAAGTTATCTCACATAGTTAACAGATTATATGGGTAATTATAGTCATCTTCATTATGTCTGATTTACGTGGTATGAAGCTCATTCAATTTGCGTATTTTCTTTTGGAATATCATTAGGTATAAAGAAGCGTAAAAAGGACAAAGTTGTATGGGATGAGCAAACTGGTACCTGGAAACGTCGCTATGGTTACGATCGTGTTAATGATGACAAGGATGTACCTATTATTGAGGCCAAGATGTCTGATGGTAAGACTCTTAGCAAGTTGCATAGGGATAAATGTTACTGAAGTGATGGGATGCCCTGAAGTTCATAAGAGCCAGTTTCATTATTAATGCTGTAAAAAAAAAAAGGAAGTCATGGTTGTCTCTTTTTGCAGAACCAGGGGAGGATCCTTTTGCTAAGCGACTAGATGATAAGAAAAAACGGGTTGAAAAGCAAGACAAGAATAGATTACAGAACTTGAAGCAAGCTGCAAAAGTTGGTGCTTTGCCAAGGTCTTGCTCCTTTTATCACTAGTTAGATTTAAATTCTGTCAAAATTGCCCTTGTTGCTTCGATAACATAAATTTCTTTCCTTTCTCTTAAGATTGCATAGGTGATATTGGCTCAATGTTTAATACTAATCCCTTTTAGCTTTTCTCTTCCCCTAATACCAACATCTTCTTTTTCTAATAAAGCAAGGTTACAATGTTATTTCTTTGGCTCTGATCCAGGAGTCCACTTCCCTGATGTATTACCTTGAGGCCTTATTCTCCATTCATCTTTAGCAGTCTTAAGGATTTGCCAAAACAAGGTCCTTGGTGTACTGATTAAGTTGTTATTAGTTATAAAAAATAGAAAGTGTTACTAGCTGTAGCAGGTGTTAAGCTTTTATTTATACCTGGGCCTGTTTTTCATTCTGACATCCATGTCTCAGCTGTGTTCATTTATTAAATGAACACTTGACTACAAAGATGAAATTGGCAGCCCAGGCTAATAAACTTATGTTGATAAGGACAGTGGTTTGTCAATTAGTACTTTTTTTCAAGAGCAGTTACTATTTATCACTATATATTTTATTTGATTTCTACTTTCATTGTGTTGTCTTTTCCTATCCAAATTGGTTGTATCTTCTGGCTAGATTTTTGAGGTAAACTAGATCTTCATGTTAACATAATTGCTGGAAACTCATTTGTGTCCTAACATGGAATCTTCACTTGTATAACTAGAATACAAGATTTTTTATAGTTTTTATTATTCATTTGATGCGTTCTTGTTTTCCTCATCTTAGTGGCAAGAAATTGAACAGACTCTTTTCTGCAGCCATGTTAAGCTTGCTGCCACAGCTTTGCCAATTACAGGAACCCAGGTCCCATCAAAGAAGTTTACTAAAGATGAACTGGGAAATGTGGCTGGGATAGTTGCCACTTCTACAGCTAGTGGTGGGAAATTTGATAAGAAGTTGCCAGGAGAAAAGCCTGCTAAAAAGCAAGGAAAGCATCGCAAGGTTTGTGCACTGGCCCTCACCCATTCAATCTTGTGACTTTCCTGGGAGTGGTCCAACATGTTGTCTTTCATTTTGTTCAGTTCCTACCAGTAGTGGAAGGATCAGGGACAGGCTCGCAAGAGAAGGAGCAAATGGATAAAGTTCTGAACAAGTTAATCTCGAAGCACTCTCATGAGATACTTAATGTTGATAAGGTATGTTTAAGCTGTTTATTTGCCTTACCCTACTGATAAACTAATTTTAGAGTTACTTGGAGTTGGAGGGAAATGAAAATGTGCTCATTTGTTGAAATATACGATTTCTGGAATTCAGGCCATTAACATGTACAACGTGAAAAAAGAGAAGAAAACAAAGTATAGGAAGAATCACGAAGCAAAATCTTCATCAACCTCGAGCAAGCTGAGACCGAAGAAGAACATTAATAAGAAAACTGCAAAGAAGGGTTCGGCATCTTCAAAGAAAGGGAAGGCGCTATGAAAGTGTTAAATCAATGAGCTCCAAGATGGGTTCAGCATCTTCAGAGAAAGCACAATGAGAGTACTAATTGATCCCCTTATAGAATATCATGTGCTAAAATTGTTTAGCCATAGCGTGCGTTATATCGTCAAAGCGGTTCTGGTTTCATACCTAGGATTAAGAATTGTTGTTTCTTGTTCACTAGAAA